TGGAGACAGGGCTGCGGTACTGGGTGAATGTAATAATGTAAGTGAAGAGCTTAATGCTGTGTTAACTGAGAGTAGGCGCTGAATACATGTCAGTTATCCTCATTCTTGTCATTAGTTGCGCCATTTTGGGTATTGCCTTTAGTCATCTTACGGGATAATCTGTTGTAGTTATCATCCGATAACTCTGAAAGGGGAATCTCTGAAAGGAATATATAGGGCAAACTCTCAATCCTTTTCCAGAAAGTTTTTGATATCTTGAATGGAAAATGTAAAAGAGAGACCAGGAATATGATTAATTTCCGTTGTGGTTGACATGGCGGAAATTGACTTCTTCTAAAAGAAAGACATTTCTTTAAAAAAAAAAAAAAAACTTTTAGATTCAGGGAGTATAAGTGCAGGTTTGTTACAAAGACATTATTGTGTAATGCTGAGGTTTTGGGTGCAATTGAATCTGTCACTGGAGTAGTGAGCATAGTACTCAATAGGTAGTTTCTCAACCCTTTCCCCACCCCCACAACATCTGGTAGTCCCCATGTCTGTTGTTCCCATCTTTATGTCCATGTGTCCCCAGTGTTTAGCTCCCACTTATAAGTGAGAATATGCAGTGTTTGGCTTTCTGTTTCTATGTTAGTTCACTTCGGATAATGGCGTCCAGCTGCTTCTGTATTGCTGCAAAGAACATGATTTCATTCTTTTTTGTGGCTGCATAATATTCCATATTGTCCATGTACCACATTTTCTTTATTCAATCCACCATTTATGAACTCCTTAGTTGATTCCGTGTCTTTGCTATTGTGAATGGTGCTGTGATGAACATATGAGTTACGTCTTTTTGCTAAAACAATTTATTTTCCTTTGGGTATATACCAGTAATAGGATTCCAGGGTCACATGGTAATTCTATTTTTAGTTTTTTGAGAAATCTCCAAACTGCTTTCCAGAGTGGCTGAACTAATTTACCTTCCCATCAACAGTGTCTAAGCATTCCCTTTTCTCTGCAGCCCCTCCAATATCTGTTGTTGTTTTTTTACTTCTTAATTATAGCCATTCTGACTGGTGTGAGATGGTATCTCATTGTGGTTTTAATATACTTTTATCTGATGATTAGTGATAATGAGCATTTTTTCATGTGTTTGTTGGCCTCTTGTATGTGAAAGAAGTTTCTTAATCAGACCAGGAAATCGATTCATATTTTTTTAAAAGAAAAAAATCATTTTGAATGTGATGCCACAAAACAGCCCCCTTTTTATTTTGTTAAAATCTAGATTTAAGAGGAACCAAGAGGTGTAAGGTAGGCAGCCCCTAAGATGGCCCCCAGTTATCCCCCTTCCTGGCATTCATACCAACGTATAATCCCTTTGCCTTAAGTGTGGGCTTCCTTCAATGAGAAATAGAATATGGCAGAAGTGATGAGATGTCACTTCCAAGATTAGGTTATAAAAAATTTATGGCTTCTATTTTGTGCTCTCTCTCTCTCTTTCTCGCTCTCTCTCTCTTTCTCTCTCTCTCTCTCTGTGTGTGTGAGAGAGAGAGAGAGAGAGAGAAAGAGATCACTGGCCTTGGGAAAGCCAGCTGCAATGTTTTAAGGCAGCCCTGTGGAGGCTCCTGTGATAAGGGATGGAGGCTTGACAATAACCACATAGTGAGCTTGAAAGCAAATCCCCCAGCCTCAGCTGAACCTTCAGATAAGACCACAGTCTCAGCCAGCAGCTTTACTGAAACCTCACAAGAGACTCTGAGACAGAGACACCCAGTTAAGCCATGCCCAGATTCTTGACCCTCAGAAGCTGTGAGATAATGAATGTTTGTTGTTTTAAGGCACTAAATTTTGGGGCAATTTGTTATACAGCAATAGATAACTAATATTAATAGTAAAGGTTACACAGTTGGGAACATACTTTTTTCTCTTATTCTAAGGCATATATTGGAATAATTTCTAGCATAGAGATGGAGGATTTGATAATAATAATCATAGTCTTGAGTACTAAATGTATGCTAATTCATACTACTGCAAATTACTAATGGATTTTTTAAAAGAAATTTCTTTAAAGAAATAACACCAAGATTATTGTGGCAGTTGGGAAGGTAAGTGGGGCTTCTAGAAATCTGTCATATTACTAATAAGGGGATATGAGTGCTATCTTTTAAAATGGGCGTGGTGATAGTGTGGGACAGAGATGTGTTTAACTCGTTCTATGTGACCCTGAAGAGGCAATGACTGGAAGCTGCAGGCAAGCAGGTGTGGTTCTCCAGAAATTTCCTTGTATTTCCTTGAAACACCAAGAATAATTGTCATATCCAAAGCTTCACTATTTAAAAGTTGCATCTAAAGGCAAAAACTGTCAGCAAATAATGAAAGTGCTACTGTCTATTTGGTGCAGAGTTTGGGATGATTTCAAAAGTTATTATTTTTCAGTTATTCTTTATGTCATTATATTGTCTTTGCAATTAAAATGAAATGTATTGTAAGAAAAGAATGCTACACGCTTTGTATTGTTAGAACATGTCCCATTTTGGTTTGTTAACTTTGTCTCAGGCTGATCATCTCCTTTCTTCACAGAGAAAAGTCTGATGATCCCAGGAAACATAATTTCTTTAAAACGATCAACTTTCCTCGCCTGGAAGCCGGCCTAGTCAAACCTCCATTTGTGCCAGACCCTTCGGTGGTTTATGCCAAAGACGTCGGTGAAATTGATGATTTCTCTGAGGTTCGGGGGGTGGAATTTGATGACAAAGATAAGCAGTTTTTCAAAAGCTTTGCAACAGGTGCTGTTCCTATAGCGTGGCAGGAAGAAATTATAGAAACAGGACTGTTTGAGGAACTGAATGACCCCAACAGACCTACGGGTTGTGGGGAGGGTAATTCATCCAAATCTGGCGTGTGTTTGTTATTGTAAATTGCTCTTTACCAGACAGGCAGCAGGAGTCTCGGCTGATATAATCTTCGAATGTTCCCAACACATGGTAATCTGTGGAATGAGGGCTAATCAGTTAGGAGGGACATTGCAACCACAGAACAGTCCAAAGGACAGGCAGGCTCACTACTAGACACATTTCTTTTCTTTTTCTTTCTTTCTTTTTTTCATAAAGAAGAGTAAAGTCTCAGTTTTGACTGAGGGCTGGGAAAAGAAACACTCAGGTTTATTTTGATAAACTAAAAGCATCAGCCTTTTACCAACGTGTCCCTGTGTATTACGCAAAGTCCTGGGAACAGAGAATGGAACTTTGTGGTGTGCCCAGAAAATGAGCATTTGCAATTCTTAGTAAATAATCATTTTAGTCTTTCTTTGTTTATGTTTTTTTTCCCTTCATCTTTCTTCTGCTTCTATCCATATAACAAGGATTTTGAAGCTGGAAATAAATGTCCCTGACATTCTCCCCCTAAAAAGGAGTGGATTACAATATTTTGGCAATGTTTTAGATCACAGAATAATTTTCAATTTCACTGACAGATTCTTTTACAAATTTTTGGAAATAACTTACTATCATAATGTTGAAGCATTTTAAATGTAAACATCCATGAGGTCCATGAATTAAAGTATTCTGTAAATTTAGTTGAGTCCTTTAAGTAATATGCTACAAATTGCTTAAAGTTGAACTACCAAATGCCGTCGGTTCCCAAACCTGCCGAACTTTGGAATCATCTAGGGGTCTTTTAAAAACTGAATGCCTGACTCCCACCCCTAGACATCCTGATCCCCACTCCCGGGTATGGAAACAGCATGACCATTTGGATTTTTCCGAAGCTCCCCAGGTGATTCTAATATGCAGCAAAGTTTGGCAGGCGCTGCCATGCACATTTGAATGTTAATACATTCAATCTCATTTTGGTTGCTCAAAACTTCAATCATACATTTTGATGGCAACTTTTCAAATGTCCCCAAAGCATGTCATTTTACCAATGGCAGTATAAATGAACAAGACAATCTGTATGCATCTTACAGCTTCTCTCATCCTTGCACACTTGAGTTTCTCCCACATATCTTGGGAGCTTGGTCTCTTGGCTATTTCAAGGCCTGAAGGAGACCTGTGGGCTTAGAAATTGAATCGAACAAATAGTAGCCCTCATTTCAAGTGGCTGCTCAGCCAGCATTGTATGGTAGAATTAGCACTTCTCAAAAGCACAGCCAAGGTGAGAATTCTACAGCTGCAAAAAATATTTGGATACAAATATAAAGCTGGGTGTTATTTTTTTAAAAGGATGTATGTGTGCATAATAAAATCTAATTTGTCCCAGTGGTAAAAAACTTGGCTGAAGTCAATTTAAAAGTTTTGTCCCTTGAGTAAGGAATTCAAGAGCTGCAAAAGTATTGGTTAAAAAAAAAAAAAAAAGATGTTGATTAGCCAGGCACGATGGCTCACATTTGTAATCCCAGCACTTCGGGAGGTTGAGGTGGGCGGATCATGAGGTCAGGAGTTTGAGACCAGCCTGGCCAACATGGTGAAACCCTGTCTCTACTCAAAATACAAAAATTAGCCAGGCATGGTGGCAGGCGCCTGTAATCCCAGCTACTTGAGAGGCTGAGGTAAGAGAATCGCTTAAACCCAGGAGGCAGAGGTTGCAGTGAGCCAAGACCACTCCATTGCACTCCAGCCTGGGTGGCAGAGCAAGACTGTGTCTCAAAAAAAAGAATGTTGGTTAACTGGAATCTGGCTAACAGTAATACTCATTTCCAAGACAGCATTAACCATACCTGGAACAAGTTAAGAAGAAGCCCTCTGAAAGTTGAGGCCTGGGCTGGTGCACCTGCGGCTCACTTTCCTGCTCCTTCTCCATCCTCAGCGTGCTCCCTGATGCTCCAAATCCTAACCTAGGATGCTCAGAGTTCTGTGTCACCAAAGCAGGATACAGGTGTGCCCAGGAGAATTTTTTTCCTGAGGTAAGAAAGTAAATTCGAGTTTGGTTAAGTTTTGAACAAGTCCCATTTAACAAAAAACCGATTGGTGATTAACAGAAATCCAATTAACCAGAGCACCCCAATGGTAGAGTTCTCAGGATTGGACTTTATAGACATTAGACATTTAAAAACAACATCGTGTTTATATGTTGATTATGCCTTAAAGCTGGCAGAGGAACAAATACAAGCTAAGAATTAAAGGCAAATATCCCAATTTTAAAAAGGACAAAAAACTTGGAGAGACAAAAAGTAAAAATGTCTTGTTGCATTGGTTCCGTAGTGTGAATCACCTCTGCTTTCAATAAACGTTAAATGCAAATCTGTTTTATGTCTTAGAACTAATTCAGGAAAATTATTGAATAAGTAGTTGTATTAATCCATTCTCCCACTGCTATAAAGAAATACCCGAGGCCAGATGTGGTGGCTCAGGCCTGTAATCCCAGCACTTTGGGAGGCCGAGGCAGGTGGATCACCTGAGGTCAGGAGTTCGAGACCAGTGTGGCCAACATAGTGAAACCCTGTCTCCACTAAAAATACAAAAATTGGCCTGATGTGGTGGTGTGTGCCCAGCTACTATGGAGGCTAAGGCAGGAGAATCTCTTGAACCCGGGAGGCAGAGGTTGTAGTGAGCCAAGATTGCACCACTGTACTTGCTCTGGGTAATAGAGCAAGACTGTGTCAAAAAAAACAAAAAACAAAAAACAAAAAAAAAACACTGAAACTGGGTAATTTTTAAAGAAAAGAGTTTTAATTGGCCCACAGGCTGTACAGGAAGCATGGCTGGGGAGAACTCAGGAAATTTATAATCATGGTGGAAGGCAAAGGGGAAACAGTCATGTCTTACATGGCCAGAGCAGGAGTAAGAAAGCAGGGACAAATGCCACACACTTTTAAACAACTGGATTTCCTGAGAACTCACTCACTATCAAGAGAACAGCAAGGGGGAAATCTGCTCCGATGATCCAGCCACCTCCCACCAGGCCAAATCCCAAGATTTGGTGAGGACACAGACCCAAACCATAGCAATACTCAATAATTATAAAAGTAATAAATAAAAATCACCAAATAAGTGTGTGTTGAGATCTAATTGCAGAAGTTGCGGTGAGCCGAGATCACTCCATTGCACTCCAGCCTGAGCAACAAGAGCGAAACTCCATCTCAAAAAAAGAAAAATATCTAAGTAGAATGCGTGGGGACGTTAGGGTCCGAGGCTGCTCCCCAGCCACTCTGTCACATGTGAGCTCCCATCTGGACCAAGTCAGAGTGCAGGAGGCTCACCATGACATGGGCAGGTGAGGAGCAGGCCTGATCCAGTGGGTTAAATGTTGGAGGAGTAGAGAAATTCGAGGGATAGGTGCAGGGTGTTTTGGGGGTCGGCGGGGGGAGGTGGTTGAGGAAAGATTTTTTTTTTTTTTTTTTTTGGG